TCTCAGTTGATTCAGAGTTAAAGTATCCAATGGTGAAAGTTTAAGCAAAGGAGGGTTTTTTTTCTTTTTTTTATTTATACTGAACTTCTTTGGCTACATATGATATAAATCACTGATTAATTGCATTTAGAGAATCCAAAAAGAATCTATCCATGTTGAATAACAATACTGTTGAAGTTTATAAAGCACTTATTCTGTTAGCACATAGAAAGATATGTTGATTCAGGGTTAGCAACTGTTTTCCATATGATACATGTCACTATTTCCCACCACTCGTAGTCCCTGGATGTTTGCTCTACTTATGGTGAAAGTGTTTTAGAAAAGGGATGGATGGCATGTCTTCTAAAAGCAACACAAAGAACTTGAACTTGGGGAATATGAAAGAGTTTGTACTATGCTCAAACACAGTTTAATATTCGTGTAGAGAATTTTTGAATATGTTGGTGAAGAGCATCACATCAGCTATTGTTTTAAAAATTGTTTGAGACTTTAGCTCCTTGAACCCATCAAAAAGAATTATATGTAGCCTGATGGGCTGAGATTTGGACATACATAGTATTGCCTGTTGGCTCTAGTAGAGCAAGCAGGTGAATTATATTACTAGCTCTGTTCCAGGGAAAGCCAAAGTAAAACATTTAAATCATCTATTAATAGTAATATTTGTATTATATTCACAATAACTCAAAAGTTTATACTTCTTCCAAAACTACATATTTTACTGAAATAATGATCTGTTTATACTTTATGTGATTTGTAATAAACAAAGAATTGTTGAATACTGCTTATCTATTCAGGAGTAAAGCCATTAAAACCAGAAACCAATCAGCAGTATCGCTTAATATTCTGAACTATTGTGAGGAAAATAAATAACACAATTGAATTACTAGTCACGTCTTTTCTTATGAAAACAGATTTTAGTATTTGGACAAAAAAGCTAAATAAGCAAAATACTCTTAAAAACATTTTTTTCATGGTCACTTTAATTTTTTTCTGTTTTAAATGAAGAGCTTCAGCCTTTTGATTTGACCTTACAAAATCAAAATGATTATTTTTCAAATTTCTTCTTTAAATGTCAGAGACTGCATGTTCCATTTTTGAAAAAACT